AAGAGAGAGAGAGAGAGAGAGAGAGAGAGAGAGAGAGAGAGAGACTCTCACTCTCTCACATGCATACACACTAACACACATACTGACTCACACTCTCACAAACACACACACACCTTGTCTTTTACACACATGGACTCACACATACATGCGCACTCTCTCACACACACATATATTCATACACCACACACATGCACACGTTCACACTCACAAACAGACTTGCTATTGTATCCTTAGAGGTACAGGGATGTACTGCATGACTGTGCATAGTATGAAGGTCCCCTAAAAATCATTATTACACTCAAGAACAAACAGATATGCTACTGGTTTATCTGTTTATGATACTATGCTATTTTTCATTCTTTTAGCCTGAACTCCATCTAATGACAGAGTTTAATTGTAAAACAGGATGCTGTGTTATGCTGGTAGTACCCACATGCATTTCATGTTTACCATCTCCTAACTGCATTTAGGCCACAGCGCAGACATATACCATGTTTATGTAAATATTCTCTGTGGTATTTGTACAAGGACAAAATCATGGAAAAACACATCTCAGACTGTGTCTTCATCATTGAGCCTTTATTGGTACGAACAGGTAATGTGGTCCTTGCTGCTGTGGGGCTGGTATGTTTGGGGTGTCTGTCTGGCATCCTGGCTTCTGGCTAGGTTTGGGTAATGCACATTAGCAGCAGGAGACCAGGAAAGAGATAGTTTGAAGTCCCTTCTGTTCTCGGCTCTTGAGCTGTGGTACTGCCATTGGTCAGGCCCCTCCCACCACTAGTCACAGGTCAAAGTCAGCCATGCCTCTTAGATCAGCACACTCTCTCAGGCTCTCCTGATCACTTTCTCCAGGCTCCAGGCTCCAGGCTTCAGTAACCAAGCCCTGACTGCTGCCCCACTAAATATTCTCTCTGAATGAAGAAGCAAATGAGACAATCTTGATCATGCAAGGGGCAAGACAGTTTGTATAAATAAATACCATTTACACAGAACACAGAAATGTGAGGCCATGCCTGTAGTTTCCGTAAAGAAAGACACCTCCTCTCCTCTTTCTCTCTTTCTGGTTATTCTAACTACATTGAGGGTTTTCTCTTCTTACCTTTTCTTAAAACCAAATTGGGTTTGCTCTACTGTTATATTGTCTGTTGCATGTATTTCCGATTTCAGTACTGCTGTTTCCTTTCTGTCCTTGGCTTTGGATTAGGTTTGTCTTACTTCTGCAGTTCCTAAGGTGTCTCTCTTAATCTTTCTCCCTGCCCACCTCCTTCACATACCTCCCTCTAAGTGCAGCTGTAGGCCCTGCCTATGAAGACAGTGGCTTGCTTATTTCTCTTTCTTTGTCAGCTGCCATCATTTTCAATTTCCTTTGACTTTTCTGTCCCACTGACTGTTTTAGGATGGACTAATTTCTCACACTTGTAAATAGCCCATGTTTCCTTCTGTTGTTGGTTTCTAATTGCATTTCATGATGGATGAAGTGTATAGGAATATTTTTCAATCCTTCACAATTTGTTGGGTTTGTTAATATAACCCCATATAGACCATATAGACTGTATCCTAGGAAATGTTTTCTGCGCCCTTGACAAGTGGCTATATTCAAGGGTTGTGGGAGGCAGTTCTTGTAGACGAATTTTAGGTCTGGTGAATCAAAGGGGTGGCATTTAAACAATAAAATGTATCAAAGAACAGAAGGAAATATTACTTCCCTGAATTTGAAACCAAAATAACTTGCTTTAAATTCAAGTAACAGGAACACAAATCAACAAAAAAAATTAAGTTCCAGCAGGATACAGTTGCCTCCCCAAGTCTCTGGGTTTAGAGTTATTTGAGTTTTTTTTTTTTTTTTTTAAGAATGTCTGTAAGGGAATGTGTGACATCATGTTATATAAAAAATAATTTATGTAAGTGTGTTTGTGACATCATGTTATCAAAAAACGAATGTCTGAAAGGGTGTGTTATCACCAGATCAACACTTTGCCTTTGGGCCTAATCAGAATGACCAAAGGAGAAGTTAACAAAACAAAAAAGGAACTTGGTTTATTTCAACCCGAGTTTGTTCAGGTCCTAAAATAATTCCTCCTGCCAATTCTATTTTAGAAAACAGACTGTGTTAGAAATCAGACCTTCCAGAATTCTTTCTTCGAAGTGACTTTGTTTAGCTATTTCCAAAGGACACAAACTCCCAAAGCAGCCACTCTTGAGTCTCCTGGAAAACCCTCAATAAAGGCTGTCATGCAATGTAATGAGAATAATTATTTATTATCCTCTGTTTAAAGAGTTTGAGAATGAGGAAATGATGTTCTTCATTTTGTCTCTGGATGCTTTCGGTCAGCTGAGGCACACTCTGCAAGAAACTTGGGTCACTTGTCCCAAGTACGTTTGTCTTTAATGTCAGGCAGCAGGGCTCTCAGCGGTGTTTTATTTTTTCAGTTTTACTTACAAGCACATGCATGCTGATGCTCTTGGAGGACAGAAGAGGGCATCAGATCCACTGCAGCTACACTTAGATCCCCAGGGGCAGGAGTTACAGTCAGCTATGAGCTACCAAGTGGGTGATGGGGACCAAAGTCTGGTCCTCTTCAAGAGCAGCAAGTGCTTGTAGCCATCTCTCCAGCCCCTCTTAGAACTGTCTAATGTGGTGAAATACTATCAGTTGCTGTCTGTGTTCAAAACAAGATACTAAAGCTGGAAACTTCTTAAGACTTCTTAGGACTCTCAATTTCATCGGTGTCAATCAAAGCACACTGAATGAGCTGCAGGCATCGGGTCATACATACCTGTGAGGGGAGAGGTGCTCGTACGAAACAATTGTACTTGCTGCCTTTTTGTCAATGCAATTAGAATGATGAAATACAAAGAACACTGAAATAATTCAGAAGCCCAAGTCCCCAAATCTGAAAGAGCTCTTTAGCCTTGTGCATTTTAGGTGTGTGTGTTTGTGTGTGTGTGTGTGTGTGTGTGTGTGTGTGTGT